TAGCGCGGGACATGGTTAACGCCTCCGTTTGATTATGAAAGGTCAGAAAGATTGGCCCTGGTAAACTAGAGCGTCCTCAGTCACAGCTACACAAACAATATCAATTGACCATGAAGTTGTAAAAGGGACCCTGATTCATAGTATTTGTAACCAATTTTCTGAAGGCAAGGGCTATTGACAGAACAGGCATCTCACCCTCTCTCCTGTGCCCATGACCACTGAGTGAGCAAGGACCTGACAGTCTTGGTGGCCCATAGTCACGACCATGCCCGGAGCTGGTCTTCTCTGCCCTGCCAGGGGCTGAGCTTTAGGAGTGAAGTGAGGAAGGCTTCAAGCAAAGTGATGTGTGATGCTCCGGCAGACGGACCAAACTCGATCGGAACAGGGAAAGCAGGGATGGGGGCTTCAGCACAAAACTGTCTGCAGCCATGGGAACAGGACACTGGTGGCTCCCACTGGTGCTCTGTGGCCTTTGTGCTGGACTCTGCCCGGAATGGAGCTAACTCCCCCAGCATTTCTGTCCTGTTTCTGCACTCTAGGCCTCTACAACAGCACCTGTGGTCTCTTTTGTCCGTGAATCTTGCTCTCTCTCTGTTTTTTTCTCCCAAATGAAAACTGTGTCTTGGACTCTCCTGGGTTCCCCGAAACAAGGAGCCTGGAGACATCGAAGGAGCCAGGAGTCAAGGACACAGAAGCCTGCAGACACTGGCCAACAGGCTTCACCCAGAGGGAGCTACATGTCCTAACCAGCACCCACGCCTGATTGGTGGGCTTCGTCACATCCTCAGGGGAACAGACCGATGCTCAAAGATGACCTTTTCCCCACAATTGTGAATTGTACCCAAGAAGGCTGAACTGTAAGAGATATTACCTACCAGTCAGAATTATCACTACAAAATATATATCAAACCAAAGTATTTCTCAAAGGCTATTGGCACTCAACCAACCTGGATGCATAGAGGAAGTCTATTCACACTGCCACCTTTAATTACAAAGATGAAATATACATATATATATATGTAAAATCATTAAAATTCTATTAGACATTGCTAAATTTTATAACACACTTTAAGAAGAAAAATGGAGATCATGTGATAAATTAGTCAAAGTAAAACAGGAAATGTATATCCCCAGAGTCTGGAGAGCTGACATAAAGCCATGTTAAAACTCAGTCTTCTCAGAAATAAACAATTTGCTTATTATCGAAGAATTCCTGGACTTTTGGTTTAAACTCAGACACCGATTTTCATTTGATGATCTTGCCTTCAGTTGTTCAAGCGTCTGCACAAGCCTCTGCTTGTGTACTTTCCCAGTTTTAAATGTCAATTATCTTGCAAAATTTTAAATAAATCTCTTTGGCCAAGTTTGAGTCACACAGCAGGTTAAAATACATTGTTTGACCTGAAGAGCAATGATATAAGATTTCGGGAGGAAAATCCAATTATTTTATACCAGGAAGAAAGGGTAGCCTTTCAGAAAAAAATTATTCAAAAATTTTAGGATGCGATTGAAAAATAAGAAAAGCATAAGGTTTTTCAAAGTCCTAAATCGCTAGGTTCCCAGCTGAGGGATTGGTTTTCCACAAGCCCGTGATTTGCTGATGATATATTATACTAGGCACCGTGGAAGAAATGGCTTACTGATTTTCAATCACACAAGGACACAAGGATACCAAAAAGAGGTTCTTCACTGTTTCTCATTTTCTCATTACTTACAGTTTGTGTTTAAAACAAAACAGGGTAAATGCAAAATATAAAAATAAACAGTGGCCCATGCATGGAGGCGAGATGGACGAGAAAAGGGTACATATAAAATGAGAGAAATGTAAACTTTACGGTTTTCACAGGTTCATCCATTTCCTCTGCACGTAATGGAAATACTTAGGATTATCAGGGAAGCTCTTAAACATACATTTTCTTAACAAGAGAACAAAGGTTGGGTGTATTCATGTTTTGATAATCACCTTAACTTTTCTCTTTGTCGAATTATGCTAATTGGGTCCAAACTAAAACTGTATCAATAGTGATCATTATAGTTGATGAAAAATAGCCCTGCTGCTGTTCTCTCGCAGCAACAGGGGTTTGGCAATAAGATTTCATGTACGCGCGCTCCTCTGCCCAGCGCTGCTATTAGTCAAAGGGCTTTGCTACCTTCCTACTCTTCGCACTGTCATTGTGGGTACCTCAAACAGCTGCCTAGTTTACATCTGCAGGATGTGATATGAGGGATATCCGATGAAATCTACCCATCTCTGAGTCTCTTAAGAAGGAGCCACAGAGACTCCAAGAACCACATCTTCAAACATTTAAACATGATACCCTTAAGACTTGATTTCCAAGCTGAGGGCAGATACGCCACTTCAGGCTTTGAAATGGCCTCTACACTGGACTCTGAAGGAGTATCAGGCAGTGTGGGAGGGCGCACGGTGCTCAGTGGGAGTGGAGGGAGGTGAGACAGCAACCCAGAACGCAGGGGACTCTGCAGACCGCATGGTCTTTGAGGAGGATGGGAAGGAGTGCTTTTCGCTTCCGTTCACTCGGGGATCCCTATTTTCCTGCAGAAGTCAAAGGAATTGCTGGATTTTTCATGCAGCTGTGGGCTTATCCACATTGAAGAGGCTAAGCTGGAGACCAATTCGAGATTGTCCATCCTCATCCTTTGCCCAAGCCGTTGCAACCTCCGCCTCCCCCAGCCTCATTGAAAATAACTCCATGTCAGTAAAGCTGGAGGGATGATATCTCTCACTTTATTTGAGAACCGGAATGTCCCTGGTGGCCTGCCATGGGTGACCAGTAGCACACGTGGGAAAGATCTAAGGCACAGGAATGAGGCTGACTTTTGCTCTTTCCGTTCAAGTGGCCACTGCCCACTAAGCCTTGCCCGGGGGCGGTCTCAAAACAAGAGCAGCATTTGTAGTGTAGGCTTCTCACGCAGGTTGTCATAGTTTAAGGGCACAACCTACTTCCTCACAGACTTTGGAATCCTTGGTCAGTGTATCTCTATCTTCATTGCCACTCACCCCTACAAATGGGTGTGAGCACCCACACACAAGCACACGCAGACACACATACACACACATACACACTTCTCTGGAGAACTTACTGGAATACCTCAATGGGAGGACAAGCAGTGGGTCCTTGCCACGCTGGAGATGAGATACAGCAATCAGGACAAGCTTCAGACTGTCTGGCCGGGACCCTCGCACTACTCCCCCGGCCCCCACTGAGCCCACCTTCTGACGCGTGGCCTGTCTGAATCTCCGGTATTGAGGGTCTTTCTCTCAGACAAAAGTCACACCCAGTAGTAGTTATTGGGAACCTCCATACACTTTCCCCCCACCCCCCACTGGAAACAAGTATCTGGTATGACAAAGACTGGCTCTTTAATGTGGACTTGGACTCAAAGAACCGAAACGAGATGAACACCACCCCTGACCTTCCCACGTACATGGGAGGGTCGGGATGGCTGGTGGGACGCCCGCCACTGTGGGCTTCTTTCCCATCAGATGACATTTTTAATGCGAAGCCCACGTGGCCTCCACATCTGTGGCCACCGTCCATGTCAGGGCTGATTCGGCTGATTTGGCTGATTGGTGCAATCTCACCATGGCCTGGAAATGACAGACTACATGGAAGACAGCCTACTCCGACACAGGGAACACTGGGCCTTTGACTGCGAGGTACGAGGACAGCACCTCCCCAGTTACAAATCTTGACTAATTTGTAAATATGGGGTCTTGTTTATCTGTCTGCCTTCCAGCATCTCTGGACATCAGGATTTACCATTAGCTGCTCCAAAACTCTTTTCTCTGCTCATGTAGTTTGAGTCCAGTAGGTTGTAAATATGCAGGTGATCTATCAGGTTGGTTATTCGTGGGGACATAGGTTGAGGAAGAAATGGAAGGATTATATTCATTGATTTTATCAGAGGCTTTTATGGGGAAATTTTCTCTGCCAAGTATTTGGATCACGGAAATTTTTGCATGTCTAAAATGAGCTCAGTTTCCTCCAGTCTGACACACAAAACTAAACAGCATGCAGGGATGGTACCAGAGTAATGGATGCATTGAAATTCAGACCAAGACCGAGACTGGTTCTCAGCTGAGTTTCCTAACAGTGGAATAGCCTGGTCCCTCCGCACGTTCGGCCCACGGCTCCTGAGTCAACAAGCCTCAACCTCCTCCCAGGCTATCCTAGGAGCAGAAGATGTATTGGCTTTGTCAACGTAATACTAATACATAAAATGCCGAGTGGAGCAAGTATTTTCTATGTTCACGGGGATATTCACTCATCTATTCCACAAGTGTTTATTAATCCCTAAGTATGTGAGTGCACTGTTTGTTCTAAGAGCTAAGGAGGCATCGGTGGACAAACCGCCACCTGACAAAACCCTGCCTGCCACTGTACATCCTTGCTAGTGAGATTCTAAAACACCAGTTCCTCTAATGTTAGGAATAACCTTCTCATTAGAATCTTCTAATCATTTTAAAAATGCCTGACTAGGGCAGGGGACACTGATGGTGAAGTCTCTGAGCTGGGCTAGAGGGAGGGACCACTGTCTATTATTGCGAGGAGAGAAGGGCAGAAAGCTGACTCTGTCCCTGGCACGGGAAGAGTGAAGAGGACTTGGTAGCAGCCAGCAGCTCGGCTGCTCAGTCATTTGGCAAACATTTACAGAACAACTATTATCGGATATTCTGACACACTAGTTGAATAATGACTTTCTACGACAGTCCACTGACCCGTCTAACGCCTCTGACAGCTTGTGAAAGTCACTCCATGTCTAGGCATGTTCCTAGAGAGGAGAGTTGGGTAATGGTGCTGCAGAAATTACTGCAACTCTTACTGACACCACAGGCGGAGGCGTTTCCCATAAATGGGACATTTGCTCGTTAACACGATCAATGCTCATTACGGCACCGGGTCTTGCAGAGCTATGGCCATGGCAACAAGACACTCAATGTCAAGGTAATGTAGAGGCTAAGGTCGTGCTGCCCTTACCATGACCGAGATGTGCAGGATCCTCAGCTCCTCTTCCGCCGACTCGTGCTGGGGCTCTTCGGTTGGGTCTTGTCCGGGGAGGCTCGGAGCACCATCTTGGTGATGGATGTGGAAAAGCAAAGTGCCGTTCTCCAGCCACTGCTGCCTCCAGCGCACCAGAGGGATGTCCTCTGTGTTCCCCGAGATCTCTAGAGGACAAACAGCGAAGGCACAGGTCAGAACTCCAGCCGTACCAGTCCGAGTCATCTCATCCACCTTCTTCCTGGACGCTGCTACCCAGCAGCCAGTGTCCCCAGAAGACCACACAGGGTTCCAACTACAGTCAGGTCAGACTTCGTGCTGCTCCTAATCTCAAGGAAGGGAAGAGACCCTGAGAAGAAGGGAATTATTCCCCCATAGGTCTTTGCACCATCATCTAGCAAGCCAGCCTCTCACCCATTGAGAAAAATACCAGGTAAAAAAATTTCAGGTTCTTCCCTACATTTCTATGATCAGTAAGCATCCTTTACCCAGCGCAGTTGGAATACCCCGATATCCAGGCCCCTTCCTGGGTAAATACAAGGCTGTTTTCCTCCTGTAAATCTGAAAGTGTGAGTTCCCTAGCAATTACTCCTAGACACCAGTGAATCTACCAAGGAGAGCGCTGGTAATTACTAGGCAGCAAACAGGCACTTACAGAACCATCCTGGGAGTTTACTGCCGAGCAACAGGGCTGACAGATTATTTCTAAAACCACAATCATTTTCTGCATAGTCCACTGGAGATGTCTGATCCTCGCTGTGGCAGGTAAAATAATGTTTTAATTCCCTTTAATTTTTCTCCTCTCTCTTGCAGAGCAGAGCTGGTATACGTGGAGAGGGTGGTGAGGTTCTAGGCCCTTTCCGCAGGCACAAGCATCCGCCTGCTCCCTGCGCTTTAGATGGAGACACTGGGCTGTCACCAACACATCAGTGACAACGCTCCAGTCGTGCACCGCACACTGCAGGCACTAAGCCCCCCTGCTGTCAAAGAACACTGTCACACGACCCTCTCAGTAACAGTCCTACACAACACTGTATGAAAGCTTTGAGTCATTACACACGAGACCGACCCGGTTAACCCAGCCTCTCCGGAACTTCATTGGGCCCCCAAACCAGTGTTTCCTTAACAGCTATTACCACTGAGCAAACTAACATTCTGCTGAACACACTTTGGCAAGCTTTGCTTGATAAAACGTCACGTTGGTAAGGCATGGCTTCTCCCAAAATTTATCAACTTGGACCAGAAAAAAAATAATAATTCCACAGACATAAAAAAGATTTAATAAGACACATTTAGAAGAGTATTCTCATCAAGTACCACAGCCACAAAGAGAAAAGCAATTTTAAATATTTATGGAGTTTATACATGTTTTTCATTATTTGTGTGAGGGCACAGATGATGTTCTGCTTGATTTATTTCCTTATGTATTTATTCATTTATTTAACAGACATCCACTGGGCGAGTATCACGCACCAGACCCTGTTCTAGGCACTAAGATACTAATCTCCAGAAGACACGCAACGAGTTCTCTATGGTAACTCACCGTGAATGGACTCTGTAAGTGCTACACCACATGCATGACTAAGTTTTGTGGGAACACGGCAGGAGGGAGGAGGGTAGAGGAAGGAAGGAGGGCAGAAAACAGCCTTCTCAGAAGAAGGTGATACTGGCATTGGGCATGGAAGGGTGGGTGACTTCCTTTTAATAGGAAGATCAGTGGGGAGAGAACATTCAGACACTGATAAGAGAACAAGGAGGAGGCGAAGGAGAAAGAAGGGTGGCTGGTCGTCTCAGGGTAGGTCAGAGACAAGAATCTGGAGGAGTCACAGGTCACTAGCCTGTGCCTAAAGGACCCTGATAGGACCACCTGTCTCACACAAAAGCCCAGGGTGAGGAATAAACCAGGGGGTGTGAGGAAGGACCAGCAGGCAGTGAAAGCTTAGCCCTTCTCCCAAATCACTTAGAGGACTCAGTCATCTCGATGGGCGTTGGGCTGATAAGCTGGTTGCTCTGGGAAGTGACAGTCACAAACATCCAGAAAAATGCCGCAGGCAGAGGATGTGACAATGGAAAGTTTCCTGCACTCGTGTCCTGGTTTTCCACAGGCACAGTCCTATTTGTGTGGTGATGCAGTGACATGGGTCTTCCAATTTGCCTTCCTCCTACAGACACTCTGGATTTCCGGGTGAAGAGAAGCCCTGGGTGTGCCTCCCAGGGCACCGTGTGGACCAGGAGCAGCCATGTCACACACGACCTCCGCAGCACATTCGTCCTTCTGACCACTCATCCAGCCTTCACATCAAAGTGTCTGCACGATTCCTTCCAAGAAACACGCCCTCCTCCCCTAAGTCTCTTTCCTGCCATTGCCATAGAAACCAAACTCCATCTCCTTAGCACTGCAGACCTAAAAGTCACCGGCAGAGCGGTTCCCAGCAGAGGGCCCAGTGGCATAATTGAATTGCCCAGTGCAACGCAGTCCGGCCTCCTGCCCACACCTGGGGCTCACCCCACACACCTGGGTGCCTCTTCGGGCCTTTCAGTGCCCAGTTAGAAATCTAGACACTCAGAGCTCCGAAGCGCTTCACACGCCAGATTTTTATTTCCCAGCAGATCTGCATCAGGTAGGTCAGGTTCATTACCTCTGTTTTAACTATGGCAACAAAGACAAATAAATACCCAGACCAAGGTCACCTGGCCTGACACAGAACAGGAACTGAGACAGATGAACTTCTGTCAGCTCCTGGCCACCCCAACACACACGCCGCGCAGGGCCCGAGCTTTGCACAAGCACAGAGAGAGGGTACACTGGAGGGGCAAGTCCACACGGGCTTCTAGGAGCTTTTGTGCTACGGGATTTTTCTCTTTTTTTGCACATGGAGTTAGCATTCCATGACTTCATTTAAAATGGAGATATCATTCACATACCCCAAACTTCACCCTTTCGATGTATACAATTTAGTGGGGGTGGGGAATATATTCACAAAGCTTTTCAACCATCACCACTGATTCCCAAACACATTCGTCAGCTGAAAAGAAAGCCTATCCTCATTGGCCGTCCAAGACATTTTTGGAGGAGGAAGGCATTTCGCTCCAGGGTTCGGGAAGAGATGGCACCCAGGGAAGGGCGGGTGCAGTGAGGAGAGAGATGAAAGGCACCCACGGGGAGGAGGGTGGATAGCACAGTGGCCTTGGCACCAGGGCCAAGAGAGACATCCGTGGACGGAGACATCCTGATTCTTCCCAGGGCAAAGGTTAAAGGCAAGAGGACACCACATCCGCCAGTGAGGGCGCCGTCATATTTTAGATTCAGGGTAGTTACGGAATGACGGCTTCTTCCTTGGTGCTTCCCTCTCTCCTGGCAGGGCGGATATGGAAAGGCCAAAATGCTAACCTAGGAATCTATAACCAGGAGCTTATACACTTGCTCTCTACCTGGCCCGGGTCAACCCATGGAAAACCACACAGGGCACAATCAAAGTCAGTGAATGTCATTGCCAATGGACTGAGATGAAGCTTGAAACGTCAAAGCAATCAATCACATGGTCCGGGTGTCAGCGGAAAACCTCAGGAGGAGGAAATGATCAGCAATTGCTTTACTAACTCGAGGGTGCGCCCAGACGCCCTAGGAGCAAATGAGGTGGAGTTGATAAAATAGTTACTTCAGTCCAAGGCCTCCTGGGCACTGCAGAGGAGGCCGAGGCAGAGCTTTTGCTACAATGTACTAAATAAAACAAGTGCAGACAGGAGCTGACACAGTCCCTTCAAGCTGTCACCACACTGAAGGCCGAGCTCTCCGGAAGGGTTATTAGGCTGCCCTGAGTTTCAGCAAGTCCATTCCTCCCTTCCACAAACCTCACGTCCACCGGGACCTCCCAAATTCTGGACCTGCCTGGAATACACGGAAACGAGAGTGCCATTCATTCTCAAATACAACCAATATTTTTTGAGCACACCGTGTGGGTCACTGTCAGCCAAGTACGTGATGTGGTCCTCCCTCCCAAGGAGCTTTTGATCCATTAAGAAACTAGAAGACACAGCCATGAGTAAGTCCTCTAAACAGGAATAGTGGTGCTGAGCAAGGGGGCAGGAAATGGCTGAGCATCAACCCAGGGGAAGGGATAAAACGGGAGGAAATGCCGGCGGTGATCCCAGATGAAAAGGACGGTGAGAACGTACATCATTCCAGAATGGCAGGGTGATGCCCGCTTGCAGAACCGAGAGACGTCTGGTTACACCACCGGGTGGAGGACGTGAAGAGGTGCACTGGAGGACGAGGCTGAAAGTGCGGACTGGTGTCAACCGTGAAAGCACACAGCCACCCTTCCACCCCACGCCATCTCAGCTGCCACCGAGTTCCTGTGCACAATGTCGATTAAGCTCAGAAATTCAGAAATGTCATGGTGATGAAGCCCACTGTCCCAAACTAAAAACAACAAATGGGTCTTCTTCAGCAAGGGCTACCATTAAGGGTACCCAAGGTGGGTAACCAAAGGTAGGTAATGATGATCAAACTACCCCCTTTTCCGTAATTCGTTCTGACTTTCCTTTCCCCCAACTCTAATTTCAGGGTTTGCAAGGCATGAACGGCAGGTCTGCTTTCCCACGTGGCTTCATTATGGGCTTCCGACTGAAACTATTAGCAGTGGCATTAGCTTTCAACATGTTTGTAAGGAAATAACCTGCTTAAGTCAGGGGTTAATAACAGGAGAGGATCACTAATTATCCTGCAAATCTTTACCCTGGTATCAGACGTGACCCCGTCTTTAATGTCTGGAACGGCAGCCTCTGCGGACCCCAAGTTGTTCCATAAACATAATGACAGCAGCACATTAGTGTCCTGGCCATCTGTGAAGAAAGACGCGGGACAGATAAAAAAGCAGATGAAGGAGAAGGGTGCAGAGAGTACGGACAAAGTCAAAAGAAGCCAGGGGAGGGGACTGGCCAGAGAAAAGACCTGCTTTGGGCTGAGCTGGCGGGGCCTCCGCCCCTCTCACCACAGGGCCCATTGCTGTGGGGTGCTGAAGCGATCCCATCCTACTGGCCTGAGCGAGAGCCCCATAAAGCAAGGTGCCCTGCCGGGCCTGGCTCCACCAGCACAGATGCCAACAGCATGGTGGCCCGCCCGAAGTTTGTGCCTACACGGGCCTGGCTGGAGAAACAACATGGG